ATGGAAACCTCAAGAGCTGGGTGGAAAGTATATTTGATGAACACAACTGGACATGTTAAAAAAAGGTGTTGATGGCTTGTAGGTAGGATACATGAACAAGTTGTTAAACTTTTATGGAAGTGACACAGCTTAATGGTAAAAACACTTTCTGGGCCCAGTGCGGTGGCCTAGTGGCTAGAGTTCTCACATTGGACGCACTGGGATCCTATATGGGCACCGGTTCTAATCCCGGCAACTCCACTTCCCATCCAGCTCCCAGCTTGTGGCCTGAGAAAGCAGTTGAGGTCGGCCCAAGCCTTGGAACCCTGCACCCGCGTGGGAGACCTGGAAGAGGCTCTGGGCTCCTGACTTGGGATCAGCATAGCACTGGCCATTGTGGTAAATTGGGGAGTGAATCATTGGACGGAAGATCTTCCTCTCCGTCTCTCCTCCTCTCTGTATTTCTGACTTCACAATAAAAATAAATAAATCTAAAAAAAATTATGTTTTGATGTTGCCTTTATTTATTTCTCTAAACTTTGTTTTTAAAAACATCTATTTACTTTTATTGGAAAGACAGATTTTCCTGAAAGAAAGAGAGACAGAAAGATCTTCCATCCACTGGTTCACTGCCCAAGTGGATGCAATGGCTAAAGCTGAGCTAATCCAAAGCCACGAGACAGGAGCTTCTTCTGGGTCTGTCATGTGGGTGCAGGATCCCAAGGTCTTGGGACATCCTCTACTGTTTTCCCAGGCTATAATCAGAGAGTTGAATGGGAACTGGATCAGCCAGGACATGAATTGGCGCCCTAGGGGATCCCAGCGCTTGTAAATGGAAGATTTAGCCGCTGAGCCATTGCGTTGGGTCCTCTCTAAACTTTCAATATCTCATTTCCAGCAAAGCCACTGTGAGATAAGTGGGATGTACATGACTACATTTTTTTTTTTTTCAAAGAACAAGACTGTCATTGAAATGCTGTCCTCCTATTAGCAGATAACATCAAAGCTGAATTTATTTCTCCATCCTTTAACTCTGCATGCGGCCAGGTAATTTGCTTTGGCCAAAACAGTATTAAAATATGAAGTGCAAAGGCTTGCACAACTCTTGCCCCTTAGTGTAACTTACTTTTTCCACTTCTGAGAGCCTTTTCTGTCATCATGGGAGTCTCACCTTACTCAAGACGTAAAAATCCCTGTGAAGAATGGCTGAAATACCCCAGCTCTTCTAGCTGCAGCCCCAGCTATGAGAAGGAACTCACTTTAGATTATATAGCTTGAAAGGAGCCGAATTCAGCCAGAAGCATTAGCAAGAAATTGCAAGTGTTTGTACTCTCTTAAGTAGTGAGTTTTGTTGCTTTCTGCTGTGAGTGAAAGCTAACCTATTTACATTACACTGAGGCAAGTGGAGGGCGGGCGAGGGAAGCCCCAGGGGAAGAGTTAAGAAGAGTTCTGATTGTCACACAAAGGGGTCAAGACGGAAGGGCCCAAGTTCAAGTTCCTCTGCGCTGTGGATTCCGACCTCCTCCCAACTCGCCTTCTGGAAGGCAATAGGAGCAGGTTTTCCTTACTACTGGTATAAGGAGGCCCAGACGGAGTCCCTGCTCCCGCTGCACGCCTCACCCAGCCCTGCAGCGGGAGGCTTTTTGGAGTAAAACAACAAATGAAAATCGTTCTCTCTGCCTCTCGCTCAAGTAAAAATAAGTAAAGATTTTTAAACAAAATATGTAACTAAAATCCCCTGAACAGTTGAGCCAGGGAATTCCGTAAGGAAAGTACAAATAGTCCAGAAGAGAACACACTGCCATGTCTCACTCCTGGCGGGCCTTCGAACAGCTCTGAGAAGCAGCAGTTAGGATGTGAGCATGCCATCCCTGTGTCTGGAGCTTGCTATCATTTGAACAACCCCAAAGCAGTCTAATATTTCTGCTTACCTTTGAGTGGTCCAGCCGAGGTACATCATGACTCAGCAGGTCTTTTGAACCTCATCTTGATCCGGACTTCGGAGTTGGATCTTTGTACTGTGGGACAGAATGGAGAATGCCAAGACTCTGACTCAGTGTCCCAACCCTAGTTGAGGATTATGTACGGCTGGGCTCTGCGTCCAGGGCCAGATTTCCTTTCTGTACTGCAAGTGATCCACTTTGCCATGTGGCTAACTGAATAGACAGTTGTTATCTTCAGACAATTGAAGTGTTGGAAGGACAGCGACCTTGTGTTATTCAGTCATTCTTTGGGTAAGCTGTGCTGTTCCACCCACCTCTGCAGGGCTGATTTCTCCCTGTCATTCGACCTCAGTTTTGTGGCCGGAGGCACACACACACACACACACAAACGCGCTCGCGTGCACACTCACTGTTACGATTTATGTATTATCCTTGAGATTTAAAAATAATTTTAGGGGACAGTGGGAGAGGCTTTTTTTTCTATATTTCGATGTATATGCCGGTGCCTGTTTGAAATGCATCAAGTTTTTAAAGTTGATATCAGGTTAATAATTGCTGTTTTATCATCATCTTCCTTGCAAAGTGTAACTTCATAGCAAGAATTTTACATTGGGTCCAAAATCTTACCATGAATACAACCATATTTTCCTGGAGAAACACACCCTGTCATTTTGCCATGGTGGACATTAATGATATCATTTCTTGCATGCTTTTATGATTGTTGTCATTTCTACGTATTTAAAAGGCAAAGTGACTGAGAGAGACAAAATAGAGACAGACAAGGAAGGTCTTCTGAGGCCAGTGTCACAGCATCGAGGAAGCAACCACCTGCAGTATCAGTATCCAACCCAGGGCCCTGCCAGTGACCTGGGAAAAGCACCAGAAGACGGCTCAAGGCCTTGGGCCCATGCTCCCGTGTGGGAGACCCAGCTGAAGCTCTTGACTCCTGCCTGGCTCGGCCCTTGCTCTCATGACCATATATACGGTGAAACAGCAAATGGAAGATCTTTCTCTCCCTCTATCTTCAAAATAAATGAAAATATTCCATCTGCTGATTTACTCCTCCAGTGCCTGCAACAGCCAGCACTGGGCCAGGCTGAAGTCCAAGAGCTTAGAACCTCACCCAGGGCTCCCACGTGGCAGCAGGGACCCGGCCAGTGCAGTTGTGGCTGCCTCCCAGTGTGCTCATTGGCAGGAGCTGCAGCCCAAGTGGAGCTGAGACGCTAACCCGGCCCTGCGGTAGCAGATACCATGTCCCACATGGTGGCTCAGCCGCTGTATTAAATTTTAGCCTCATTTGCGTACTTTTTCAAACGACAAGTGGGAATACCACTTAATTGGATTATAGCCAGCTCATGGTTTTTATGTTTAAAAGTCAGCATAAAGATTAGAATTTTCCAGGGAGATATTGAATAAAGGCAGAAAGAAAAATTTCTTGGGGCTAGTGCCGTGGTGTAGTAGGCTGCGCTGCCGACTGCGGACACTGGCAGCCTATATTGGGTGCCCGTTTGCATCTCAGTGGCTACACTTCCTATTCAGCTCCCTGTTTGTAGTGTGGGAAATCAGGAGAGTATGGCCCAAGTCCTTGGGATCCTGCACCTGCGTGAGCAATCCAGAAGCAGCTCTTGGTTCCTGGCTTCGAAGCAGCTCAGCTCCAGGGTGATTGTGGCTTTTGTGTGGTGAGCTAACAGACGGATCTTTTTCTCTAACTCTGCCTTTCCAATAAAAATAAAGTAAATCTTTAAAAAAAAGTAAAGATAAGTCTCAACAGGAAAACTCTTCTGCGGCAGAATGAGAGCGGCATGCTTCCCCATAGATGGGCCCTGGTGTTTTAACTCGAGTCAGTTGCAGTGCTCCTGCCTCTGACTGGACTCACCAAGCTCGTCTCCCCAAGACTGGCGGCCGTTTGCGGCCTGTGGTTTGAAACTCAGCTCTGTGAGGGCAGGAAGGAAGGGCGGATCTGCTTGCGATTTCCTGTCTGGCTGGGAGTCACTGACACAGAGCACTTGGCTTGCGCTTCTCAGGCCAGCTGTCTGGAGAGCAGGAATGCGGCTGCGGGAGTGAGACCCGATCCTGGGCTCTTGAACCTGAGTGTCCTGCAGCAAGCTGGTGCGGCCTGCTCCTCTTCAAGGGGCTCTCCTCTCCCCGTTGCCCACTGTAATACGACAAGGAAACTTGGGAGAAGCGCCATTGCTGCCCATCACTTGGGTGCAGGAGAAAAGCCGAGTCTCAGAGGTAGGAGGTAAAAGCTGCAACATTGACCTTGCCTGCCTGGGGGCCAGCCTCATCCTAGCTGCTCATTTATTACCCACTTCCGTCTGTTGCAAACGGGACCTTCCTCTCTGTAAATATGCCTTGCTGATAAAAAGAAATAAATTTTTAAGAAAATGTGTTGAGCCCTGTCTGGTTATAGTCACATGGCTGTAGGACTGATGGAGAGCTGCAATGAATTCAGTTGCCACATGAATGAACTCACGTTACTAGTTTATCAGCTGGCTACCTCAGGAAATCAGAAAGCTGAGTTTTCATAACTTATTCATTAGAAGCAAGAGACTAAGCTGTGAAGCCGTCAGTGCAGTGCAATTAGAGAGTTAGATGTATTTTTCATAAAGTCTTATACTGTATAATAACTCCTCGTTCAGTGGTGGATAATGTCTATTATGGTTTTTGCTCTGTATTATAGCATAGCCATCGTAGTTGTATAAGAACAAATGTACTTGCCCCAAAACAATGTTTTTCCCAAAACCTACATCCCTTATTAAGTCTTGTTCTAGTCAATCTTCCATTTTATACATAAAAGCTGGGAATTAATTTCTTTGAAGCTTTATTTATTTGAGAGACAGAATGGAGGGGAGATGGATAGGAGAGATTTACTGCTTACATATCACAACAGCCTGGGCTTGCCATGCTAAAGCCAGGAGCCAGAAGGGCCATCTGGGTCTCCCACGTGGATGCAAGGCCTCAAGCACTTAGGCCATCTTTCCCTGCTTTTGCAAGTGTATTAGCAGGAAGCAGGAGCAAAAGCGGAGCAGCTGGGACTCAGTCAGCTCCTGCATGGGATGCTGGCACTGCAGGCTGTTGCTTAAGCTGCTATGCCACAGTACTGGCTCTGGGAATTGTTTTATTAAGCAAAACTCTCCTTTTTAAATTGCTCCCTAATCTTAAACTCTCAAATAGGAAACATTAACAGGAACTGTTTTTAAATTTGTATATTGACTTTACTACAGGTTGACATACTCTTTACTTTTCCTGGAAGGTTTTATGAATACAGAATCTGTTCATGCATTAGAAGGCTGCTTGGAGTAAAGAAGAAAAAGCTCTGAGTGCTGTCCTTATGAACAAGTTGGTGTAACCCTGTGTGTGCCTGGAGAGTTACAGTTTGTCTAGAGATTTGAATACAGTGTTACCTATATTAGGTTTACAGATTTTGTCAAGAAGTATTATTCTTGTCCATACTTTGTGACAGTTAAGTTCCTGGGTTACTAATGATAATCGAACCAATAAAATTAAAATTCATTTTGTAAAGAAGAGATCCAAAACCCAGCATAAACATATTTAAATGAGAAAGAAAAAACTTTTTCAATAGAAGTTCTTCGTTTCATTTCACAGTTTCTCCTAACAAATCTCTTACTGTTTGCACTGAAGACGCTTGCTGATAAAATGAATGACTTTGTATGTGCACAGTGAATGGAGAATCATCTGACAAATTGAGTACGTAATGCTGATAATATTATGGTTTCAGAGACTTAAGGATTCATATTTTTCCCTTGTGGTAGTTGAGTAATAAATGAATATCAAGTAAGTATAAAATGAATGTTTGATCAAGAGTTTAACAGACATTATCCAGAAATATGAGAAGGGATGAAGAGGGATAGAGGGGAGTGAGTGCGATTGGTGTAGCCCTGCTTTCTTTCAGGGACAGTTTATGAGAACTGGGTTTAAGACAATAGTGTTTGTTGTAGATTTTATTAGTCATCAGGATCCTGAGGACATAAAAGTATTTTAATGTTACTAATATTGCTAAGCTTAACATGAGTTTTTCAATCATGAAAGAGAATTTCTAACTTGTTTTTTCCCTTATGATAGAATTAGCCTGGGACTAAAATGTAAATCAAGCTTTTATTTTTTTCCATATTTTGGCTATTTGATATCCCCCATCTGTGCGGTGCAGGACCCTCAGCTAAGGAGCAGTAATTTGGTAGTGAGTTCTTTGGAAGGAAAAGTCTTGAGCATCCTTCAGGGCCAAAAAAGTTAACAGTGATGACGCAAAAACTGGCACGCAGCCTTGTCTCATTTCTAAGAAGTTTCTTTTCCCTTAATTGTCCATTTAATATGCAATGCAAATGAGATATTTAATTTTTATTTAACCTAAAAAGCAGCAAGGACAATTTTGAAAAAGAACATTTTTCTTCCTCTGGTCTTTGTTGTATACTTAGAAATTCTTCCTTGAGTTTTTCACAGCTATGCAATTGAAACTCTTGTTGAAGGGGTTACAAAGAGAAAGAGTGGGGCTGTGCCACACTTGAGAGTTCCTAGAAAAGTGGACTGTTGCTCGGACGCAGCCTGCAGCATCTGCTTTAACCCTGGGCAGAGTGGAGCCTAGCTCCATTCGCAGACACTGACACTTAGTGCTTGGCTTTGCAGGTACAGTCTGGGAGCCTTCAACAACAGAGCAGCACCAGGTTGCAGGGGTCCTCAGGTTCCAGTGTGTGTGGGAGTAGCCCGGAGAACTTGCTGAAACACAGCTGGCTGGAGTCGCACTCTGAAAGGTTCTGAATTTTGTAGATGCAAAGCAAGTTCTCTCCTGATGGTGTGTTGTCAGCCTGGGAAGTACTGTGTGCTGCACAGAGCCCAAGGATGCAAGTTAGCAAGTACTTTAACACAGCTGTTTCAAGTTGTAAGCCTCTCTGAGGGTGGCACCCGGCTCCCTGGAAGGTGCTAGAAGGTGGGGGCGGGGAGTGAGACTGGCTGTTAGCAAAATAATCTCTGCTGAGTATTAAATAGAATACTGAATAGTCAAAACAATTTCTTTTCTTTTTAGATTAATTTAGTCTTATTCGAAAGGCAGATTTTGCAGAGAGGGAGGAAGAGACAAAATGAGAAAAATCTTCCAGCTAGGACGTTAGCCACTATGTTGTCGCCCTGGACCCCAAAATTTAATTTTTATTTAATTTTTTTATAGTTCATAGAATCAATTCTGAGTATAGTGATGATTCCTCCTGTCCTTCCATTCTCTTTCTGTCTCTCTTTTCCTAATCACATATTGAAAGATTTGTTTATTTGAAAGACAGTATGACACAGAGCAGAGAGATAGATCCTCCATCTGCTAGTTCCCTTCCCAAATGTCTGCAATGTCTGTGCCAGATCCTGGCAGAAGACAGTAGCCTGGCACTCCCTTTGGCCCTCCCACACAGGTGGTAGGACCCTGTGTATGTGGACTCTCCTCTACTGCTTTCCAAGGCGCATTAACAGGGCGCCGGATCGGAAGTGGAACAGCTAGGACGTGAACCGGCATAACAGATATGGTATGCCTTAGTTGTAGGTTTCAGGTAAATCTTTTGCATCACACTGCCAGGCCCTGTCAGTCAGTTTTGGTAGGGGAAAAGCAGATGATTAGTTTTTGAAAAAAAAAAAAAAAGCAAACTAAATCCAGGATTGATGGGAGACCACCTAGCTTGCAAATTTCACTTCTCAGCTTATTGCTCATTATTGATTAATCCACGTTTCACTAAGGTTGGGCACGATGTTGAAATGGCCAGTCATGTATTGCTTTAAGTTTATTTCATGTATTAAAGAATCTAATGGCCACTGGTCTTTGACGGGAAAATCTTCCAGATGGACATCCCAGCAGAGGTGAGAACTCTTCCCCTGGTTATCCACACCTGCTTTTGGGTCCTCTGACATCTCAGCATTGAGAGGCGCGACTGTCACTTAATCTTTCTGCTTTTCTACTCTGTGGAATTCTTTCTGGTTGAGACTATCCCTCCTGCTTTTGTCTTAATATTAAGAACAAGCTCATTGTCACATGGCATCTGCTTGGGGGGCATACTGCCGCCCTCAGCACCCTCCGCCTCCAAAGGCTCAGTGTCACGTGACAGGACTTGATGCGGGCCTTGGCTATTTCGCCTGTAAAGAGGACTCCTCTCACCAATTTCAGACCTCTTTGAGATAGTGACAATCATTTTAGCACCCTTCTCCTGTCTGTGGAGACACACGCATCACGTACGTATTCCAGGAACAAATAGTATGTCATGTTGAACTGCATGAAAAATTCCCACTTTCTTGATGCTTATCAAGGAAGCCACAGAAACATACACTTGTTTCAACCACCCAAGAAAGTCATCAAAAGTAAGGAGAATTAGGTGAACAGGAAAAAAAAAAAGGCTGTGAACATTGCAAGCACGAACAGTGTTCATTGCCCTCTAATCTGGTCCTGTCTCAGCTCCAGAAAGGGGGAAGTCTGGTCATTGTTGCCACACCCAGTGCCGCCTCGGGAGCCTCATGACTGTCACATGTGAAGCAAAGTAGCTTCAAAAGAATTCGTTCAAAGACTGAGGTTAAAGTTCTAATACAATATTTTGCAACTATTGCATAACTCTTTTATTTTGAGAGAGTTTGTAAGAATACGAGTTCCATGCTTCAGACACCGCGATTCTCCCTCTTGGAAGCCTCGTGAGTGTCACGCGCAGACAGAAAGACAAAGCGAACAGTGTCTTCTGCCGGTCATCGGGAATCACATGGATTTCCTTGGAATCCCTGTTCTAAAATCCTGCCCTTTGATCATGACTTTACGGCTTCTGGCTTTTAAAATCAATTCTCTCTCTCCTCTTTTTTTTTCTTTTTTGTAAGTGAAGGTCTGTCTATTTGTAGAAGCATCTATCATATTAAAAAAAAAAAAGGAAAACTGGGTTTAGAGTATTTTCTGTCAAAATGGTGAGGTCGTACTATGCATTTACGAGAAAGTAAACTCTGTTATAAAGGCTATGATAAAAGATTCATATTTGTAATTGAGATAACCATGTATCCAGGGTTGGCCAGGTAAACATATTAATATGTTGACAATACCCCGCTTCCATTTCAGTGGATGTGCCGTAATTAGAGATTTCTGGCCATTATGGTGGAGGCCTCCTCCATAGAGGGAGTGAACTCCACCTGCTAGAAGCTGCCTTCGTTTGAATCAAAAAAAATGAAGGAGAGCACTTTTGGTTTTCTCCTTCTTAGGTAGGTAAGTAGTCTGTTTGAAATTACACTGTCATTATAGATTATTTATTTGAACAAATCCTACTGTGTCAAGCACCTCTCATGGGCCACTGCTAGGCACGGAGGGTGAAGATGCTTCCAGCCTTCACGGAGCTCCGTTCTCAGGAGTGCCTCTCCGCAGAGGCAAAGCACGTGCAGTCAACTTGCTTTGAAATTAACAGCTCCAGTCCTGCATGGTTTCTGCACACAGGTTACCCTTCTGCCAGGGAAGGTATTCTCTCCCTCTCTATTTGCTTGTTTAATAAATATCACCCCCTTCCTTCTTGTTTAAAATGAAAAGAAATCTCTGGTTACAATTTGCTCTGGTGCCTCCTGAAGACACACATCTCGCTCAAGATCAACATCGTGTGGCAATGCTTCATTCGGAGTTGCGTTCCTGCCTTTTCCTCATTAGACTATTTAACAGGTGACTGATTGCATTTGGGAACATTTCTCATTTTGTCTTGAAAAATTCAAGGGGCTAATAATCGCCAACGGCGAGCTTCCTGACTCACAGCATTTCTGTACTGCAGTCTAGCCAAAACAATACTCTTTGGCAATGGGTTGTATTTTCTAAAGCCAGTGTCATCTAAATTTTCCAAGCACATTGACAATTTGGTTCACCAAAATGAATTGACATTTATCATTCCGTTGAGACCTTTTGGTATATATTGCATGGCCTTAGCTTCTGAATATGCACATTTGATAAGTCAGGAGTTGATTGGCATGTAGTAGTTTATCTTGACTTATAGTTGTCTTTGTGACCATACCCCACAGATATACATTATTATATGTTCAATAAAAATAAAAGCTTAGGGAAGATGTTATAGTCCAGTGCTTAAGACTCTCACATCTCATACAGCGGTGCTCAAGTTTGAATCCCAACTCTTCCAATTCATAAGTGTCTTGCTTATGGGTGTCCTGGGGGAACCACAGAAGATGGTTCAAGTACTTGGCTTCCTTATACCCACAAGAGAGAATAGCAGGCTTGGCCCAGCCACAGCAGTTCTCAGCATGGGCCTCTGGGGAGTAAAATGTCAGCCTGAAGATCTCTCTCGCTCTGTCCTTAAGAGACATTTATAAAAGTAAACTTGAAAAGAAAAAAAAAAAAAAACACCAACACATTATTTAAGATGAGACACATAGAGATGGAAAGAGGTAGGTAGGAAGGAAGCAAGAAAGGAAGGAATGAGACACGGAAGGAGTAAAGCTATATTTTCAAGAGACAGAAGAGACAAAGACATACAGAGAGAGAGAGAGAGAGAGCGAGCGTGCTCTTATCTCCTGGTTCACTCCCTACCTACTTGAATAGGCCGGCACCAGGCTGAGCAAAAGGCAAGAGCTGGGAACTCAATCCAGTCTGCCATGTGAATGATGCAACCAGTTCAGCCACCACCTGCTGCCTCTCCACGCCCGCGTTGTCAGAAAGCTAGTGTCAGGCCCCAGAGCAAGGAATGTAACCTGGGAACTGATATGAGACAGGAATCTTAACCAGTGCTTGAACTGAAAGATCTAAGCTTTATCTTTTGGATGAAAATTTTTCATTAAGAAACAAGAGAAGAGAAATTGCTCTTTCAACTTTTAGGATCAATGCCCAAATATACCATATAAGCTTTTATTTTCAACTTGTTATGTTTGAAATTAAACGTGGAGAGTGGTTGGGTCTTTGGTAATTTTGTGTTTGAGTCTTCCTGCCAGAGAGCTCCAGATATTTGTCAATTTTAACATAGTTATCTTAAAATGACTACTCCTTTTGTGTCTTAACTAAAAAACGTACTTTCATTTTATCTGTAAATTACTTATTACTGTTTGCTTCTTGTGTTTGGTTGATCCCTATGTGTTTTTCCTCCATGAGAGTAAATTATTTGAAACAATAAGCCGTATCTTATCTACTCTTGTAGCTCCAGGAACCGACATGGAACCAGGCATTTTATTAACTCTAGGTAAGTGTTTCTGCAATGAATTAAAAAAAACCTTAGGAGGTGTTTGCTATAATGCTTGAAAGCTAAAATGCTGAGCATGTTTCTTCAGAGTGTACGGATTTTATCAAGAAATGCATGCTAGTGAAAATCCTACTGAATAACCTTCACTCTCTTAAATCCCCACCCCAGCCTTTTCTCTCAGATATAATTTCAAGCCAGTGGTAAATTCCAATTCATAACGCAAATCTCTAGTGTTACATCCAGTCTGCTTCATTCAGTAGCTTCCCCACAATAATCGGAATCGGTGTATAATTATCAGGAAACCTTTCCTGGCATGCTTTCAAGCCCTAATCATCTTTCATGAGCCTTTACATTGTTAAGTCACATCAACGTAAGCTCAATTGCATGGATGAAAATTCCACTGTGTCTTAAGCCAGTATGCAGGGCTGTAGCTTACAAAGAAGTCGTTTGTAGAAGTCTACACTCCTGAGGGAAGGGAAGGAACCCTAGGCCCGCACTTCGCCAGATGCCAAGAGGCACTGGTGGGTCCTTGGGTCATGTTAGGTGTGCCAAACTGGAGCTCCATGCCCTTACCCAGCACCATGTAATGGTGGCTGGGGGGAAGGAAGGCAGCCCAGGCCTAACACGGTAGCCTATTGGCTAATGGCCTCACATTATAAGCGCCAGGATCCCATATGGGTGCTGGTTTATGTCCTGGTTTCTCCTCTTTGCATCCAGCTCCCTGCTTGTGGCCTGGGAAAGCAGCCAAGGACGGGTCAAAGCTTTGGGACCCTGCGCCCACGTGGCTTCAGATCAGCTCAGTCCTGGCCATTGTGGCCACTTGGGGAGTGAACCAGCAGATGGAAAATCTTTCTCTCTCTCTCTCTTCTTCTCTCTGTAAATTTGCCTTTCCAACAAAAATAGATAAAATAAAAAAAAATCAATAATCGCCTCTGGGAATATTGAATACTTAACAATTCATTTGTGTATCTATTGTGTGTGTGTAAGAAGAATGCTCTGAGGTCCAATAAATATGGTAAAAACTTCAAACATCATTGATTTATTATTATTGTTACTATTGCTTCTTGATATTATTTCATAGGTTCTGGGAGTTCCCATCCCACTTCTTACAGCCCCTGCCCACGTTATTGACTTCCCCTCTGGTACTGCAATGGGTGGTCTTTCATGAACAGTCATAAACCCATCATCCTGCTATTGAAGTGTTTGCCGACATTGTGGGCATGGACAGTATAGGCGAATCCAGGGTTCTACTGTCAGGATATATTCAGCTGTTTCACTGGGAGTCCATCTTTGGTCAGGATGCAGAGATGCACACTGCACTGTGTCTCCACATCTGGACCTGTCAGTCTCTCCCACACTTCTATTATACACCTCCTTAAACACAGAGCCAGAGAACATGGTCCAGAACAGGGAGAGAAACATGAAAACGTCATCAATTTTTATGATTTATAATGACAAAAAAATGTATTAAAGGCTCTATAAAATGTAACAGATAGAATGCATTTTTAAATTTATAATTGTTTAATCAAGTGTTGGTAAAAGTATTCTGATAAAAAGTAATTTGGAATACATTTCAAAACTTAGAATACTGTAAGATCAACTCAATGAATCCTCAGAGTCTGGGAAAAGAGCACGGCACTCAGCACGTGGGGAATCCTGAACATTCCTGTCTGACAGCATCCAGTGTTACTGCAAGGGGGTCATCCAACTAGTAGCTGCTGAATCGTGCTAGCACTGTTAATGCTTTGCTTACCCTTGTACTCTGACCCAGACTTTTAACAATGTGTCATATCCATTATTTGTAAAATAAAATAGGACCCATGAGAGGCTGGCACAGTGGAGCTGCAAGCTAATCCTCTGACTGAGGTAGCAGCATCTCATATGAGCACTGGTTTTTATTCCAGCTTCTCCACTTCTGATCTGGCTCTCTGTGTGTGGCCTGGGAAAGTAGTGGAGGATGGTCCAAACCCTTGGGACTCTGCATACAAGTAGGAGACCTGGAAGAAGCTCCTGGCTCCCAGCTTTCAGGTCATCTTAGCTCTAGCCATTGTGGCCATTCAAGAAGTGAACTAACAGCTGAAAGACATTTTCTGCTCACCTTTTAATACCTGCTTCCCCCTCCCCCCATATGTGCCAGCTTTGTGCAAAGATGCAAAGAAGATTCTTCATTTCCCCCATGTTACCCTTCAGTGGTTGATTTGAGAAACATATTTTTTATTTGACACATGCAAAGGAAAGATGACTAACACTGGAAAATTGACCATACAAACAAAAGAATAAGAGAAGTATATGAAGAATTGGAGAAAATTGTGTAAAACTGTATCTTGGGACCTGGTGCAGTGGCCTAGTGGCTAAAACAGCTCTGGCATTCACCAGAATCCCATATGGTTACCGGTTCATATACTGGCGGCTCCACTTCCCATCCAGCTTCTTGCTGTGGCCTGAGAAAGCAGTAGAGGATGGCCCAAGGCCTCGGATCCTGCACCCACTTGGGAGACCCAGAAGAAGCTCCTGGATTTTGCTTTGGATAGGCTCAGCTCTGGCAATTGAGGCTACTTGGGGAGTGATACAGAGACCAGATCTTCCTCTCTGTTTCTCCTCTCTGTATATCTGCCTTTCCAGTAAAATAATAAAATTAATCTTTTTTTTTCCAGAAATAAGTCAAACAACAAATTCAAACTTATTTTTAAAATAACCTGTATTTTGAGGAGCCTAGTGGAGGTACTACCCATTTTGCTTTCAATAGGAGGTTACTGTTTTATAATACTAGGTTTATTAGATTCCTATGGCAACACGACAAAACACCACAAACTTGGTAGCTTTCAACAGCAAAAGTTTTCACACAGTTGTGGACACTCTGTGTGGGGTATGAGATCAAATAGTTGGCATGGAAGTACTTTCTCTGAAAACTGTGGGATCTGCTTCTTGCGTTGTGTCCTTGTTGTGTACCTGACGCACCCACAGATTTTGCATCCTCAGAAGTCGCCTGCCATAGAACTTTGGGTTACTGTGTGCTATTACTAACTGGAAACGACATGGACCCTCTGAATCTTCTGACAGCCCGTGAGTGATGTGAATTGAAAGGCGTATCTTTTACAATGGATAAAAGCACTGCTGGCTTAAGTGGTGACCTTTGTGACTCTTTTCAATAGCACCACTTGCACATGAATATGCTTTCCTGATTCAGAGAAACAGACCAGAGAAACCACCAAATCAATAAGCTGAAATGGGTTCCATGAAGCACGCTTGAGATAATAAATTACAACATACTTCACATGTATACAGCTAAGCATTTTTTTCAATAGGTTCTAAATCCATGCCCTTTCCATGTACCACGGAGAAGTGTTGAGCCAGGATTGAAATGGTAGCACATATTGCCAATAGACTTTTCCAAATCAATGTGCAGTTACTGTTCTCCTTTGCCTGATTCCAAATAATACAGAGGCAGTAAAAGTGAATAAGTTCAACCTGCATGCAATTTGTGACAGATTCTTGACTCTTGATGCGGTTTATCTCCTACCTTCCTGCCAAGAATCTGCAGATGATGCGTGGAACAGAAGTCACCCAAGTTCAAAGGTCCCCACCAGCACAGTGGAACGAGACACTGAACTTCTTTGATTTGAGAAGTGTAGTTGTGGATTTCTTTCTTTCTTTTTTTTTTTTAAGATGTATGTATTTAAAAGTCAGAGAGTAAGAGAGAAAGAAAAAGAGATCTTCTATCTTGTTCACTCCTGAGATGACCACAATGGCCAAGGCTGGGCCAGGTTGAAGCCAAGAGCCAGTAGATTCAATTGGGTCTTCCCCGTAGGTAGGTGGGGCATAAATACTTGGGCCATACTCCATTGCTTTTCCCTGGTCATTAACAGGGAGCTGAACAAGAAGTGGAGCAGCCAGGACTTGAATCAGAGTCTGCACGCAATGCTATGTGGCAGGAAATGCTTTACCTGCTACACTATAATGCCTCCCTGAGAAGCTAAGTTTTAAGTTTGGATCTTCTAGTGGTTGAATTTGAACTTAACTTCTACTACCATGACTATTAATAAGGACCATTTTGCATGTGAGCAAGAGTTTGGTGATATTGCAAGACATTTTTTGTTAATACAACTGGGCAGCAGTGGAGATAGCAGCATCGAGTGGGCAGAGACCAGGAGTGCTGTTAAATAGCCTGCGATGCACAGGAAAGCCTACGGAGCAGAGAATCACTCAGTCACAAAAGCCCAGAGTGTGGAGACTGAGAAACTCCAGTCTATAGGTCTCAATGTCTTTAAGGTTAAATAAGGGATTTTAAAAAGAGGACATTTATGGTCTCTTACAAAAATACAAAATAGTCTGAATACTTTCAACAAGACACTGTTTAAGTTAAGGTGTATCCCGCTTGGTAGAAATTTAAGCTACCTTTTAAAAATATTGTTTTGGGGCCGGTACGGTGGTACATCCAGATAATCTTCTACCTGCAGCATTGGCATCCCAATGACCCCTGGTTCATGTCCCAGGTGCTCCACTTCTGATCCAACTCCCTGGTCACGGCCTAGGAAAGCAGCAGAGGATGGTCTAAGTCCTTTGGGCTCCTCAGCCCACTTAGGAGACCCAAAAGAACCTCCAGACTTTTGCCTTCAAAACAGCTTCGGCCATTGTATTCATTTGTGGGAGTGAACCAGTGGATGGAGAGTCTATTTCTCTCTCTCTCTCTCTTTTTCTCTGTAAAATCTGCCTATCCAATAGAAATAAATGTCTTTAAAATCATGGTCATGAATACTAAGCAGCATAGCAAAAGTTTCATCTTTACTAAGATAAAATTTTAAAGTCTAAGTATTCAATTATTACTGTCATAGAAAGAAAACGAGTGTGATCATATCAAAGTGGTGATGATAGTTGTATTGAGAATTTCATGTCGCTTGCTCCTATTCTGCAAAGTTTAGTCAATCTAACTATACTATATAATTTGGAAAAGCATTTCAGAAAGCAGTGGATGAAAAGGAAAGGAACATGAAAATACTGAGTGTTTATTTCTCTGATATTCATCATTTTTTCCTTAGCTTTACCAAAACAAAGTGCATAGACTATTATGATTACATATTTTATGCACATAGATTTCATTTATATTAATTCATCATGTCACAAACGTTTCTCCTCCTAGTCTTCATACTTCCCAAAGTGTGGAATTCTTGGCCCTCAACATACAGGACTATTCCTCTCCTTGATTCTTGTGAAAGCATCAGATTAACCTTCAATATTAAAAGGAAAATTTTCAAGGTTAAGGCTTACGTTGGCTTTGGATTTCTGTAACTGCTGTATCAGATTATCACACCACACGGCTTAAAATAGCATACGTTTATTTCCTGATGATTTTGGAGGCAAAAGTCCTACCTCAGCATCATTGGCCCGAGTTCAAGTGGTACCAGAACTGTCCTCTCTCTAGAGGCTCTAGGGAAAACCCATTCCTGCCTCTCCCAGCTTCTCATGGCTCGAGGTCTAGTGGTTCCTTCACTCCCATCTCTTCCATAGTACCTTCTCTGTGCCTCTGTCAAGCGCCCTCTACCTCTCTCCTAGACAGATACCTGTTGGGTTTTGCATGCCTACACAGGCTAACTAGAAGAACCTCCCTGTGATGCTGATTTGGGGTAGCTTCTGGTTTAAGAAGCACTCGGTGCGGTGGACTCAGTGGGGAAAGCATGCTGGGAATGTGGCTAGGGACCTGAGGAGGACAGAGAGGTGGAAGAAGGGCCAGTTGTTTCTCTGCCTCTTACTGCAGCTGTGCTGGCCTTCTCTTGCCCTTCCACAACGGAATCGCAGACTCATTGGCTTTTGAACCTCAAGGCATGTATCATTTTCCTGATGGAGTCCCACATCTTTGGATTCCAATAAAAGTAATGCCTGATTTTGAACCATGCTGTCAGCTCCACTGGATTCCCAACTCACAGACATCCTACCCTGGGACTTCTTAGTTTCCATAATAAAGTGAGCCAATTCCTCTAATGAATTCCATCTAATATATGTTATACATGTATATACTATTAACTGCGTCTCCGGAGAATCCTGACTCTGCATCTCAAAATGCTTAGCTTTTAATCACATGTGCAAAGATCTGGTTTCCAAATAAGGTAAAGACAAAGTTGCAAAGGTGAGGCCCTCAGGGATCATTACTCAATCCATTACTCAGTATATTAAAAAATAAATCTAATTATAATAGTTTCCCCAAATATCAATTTCCACTCATTCCTGAAAAGAATTTAAAATCTGCTGGAATTATGCATGATCTTAATTGGACAAAGGTAGAGTGAGACAAAAAAAAAAAAACCCTCTAATTACTCTTACCGAATGAGAATCATGAAATGATAATCTTTGGGGAAGCTTAATTTAAACATATCATCCTGAGATTTTGCTAATGTGAACTAGCCAATAAAATTTGTTCTATCTATATCAAAATGTAACTAGACATGACTTCTTGCATCAAAAAATAGAAAACTCAGCCATTTTTACCATATGTTAACAACTATGACGTGTTCTAAAAACGAATTTGAGACCTTATTCTCAACAGCACAATTTTATAAAACAAACTTTTAAATTACCAAAAAGGCATGACTAATTTTACTTGAGTTCATTAAGAAGCTCAAAATGTCTTAATTAATTCTAAACATATTTCAGCAAAGCAGAGTTCACAAATAATGGAACCCCCAAAGCTTACTTTGGTTCGTGTAATTCTTCAGATTCAATTTTAGAACAATCTTGCAAGAGGCTTAAATTTTGGAGGAGTATATGTCACTGGTTTTATATGTCTGTGTTTTTGGCCAGGAATATCTCTAAGTTTAAACATCAATTTCTGTATTACTTAGAATGTATTTGACTCTGCCATTTAAAAAGCTTTAAATGTTACTTATTTAGATACGATTTACCAGTAAAACCGGGTCAACTATTTCCAAAGCTAGAATGTGAAATGTAACCCACTGAACTTAAGTAAATCAATGGAATTATCTACTAACTTAAGCAAGTCACGATCCAGCTTAATCACATTTAAATTTAAAACTATGCATGCCATATGTCACCCAACAGAAAAAAAAAATAAAGAAAAATGCAGAATGGTGCACAAGATAACCTTACTATAAACTTTTTACTTTTCCTATCTCAGGGAAAGACAAATGGGTTGAATTATGCATTTCAAGCAAACACATATTTAGTTTGTGTTTATCCCAAAGTAAAAGGATAATAATTAGAAGTTTCAAAAGTAATCTTTCAGGGACCAACACAATGGGGTAGCAGGCTATCCTCTGCCTGTGGTGCCGAAACCCCACATGGATGCAATTTGTCCCAGTTGTTCCACTTCTGACCCAACTTCCTGAGAATGCACATATAAAAGCAGCCAAGGATGACTTCTGTCTTTGGGCCCCTAGCAAGTACTTAGGGGATACCTGGAGAAGGCTTCTGACTCCCTGCTTAGAACTGGCTCAGGTCTAGCCCTTGCAGCCATTAGGGGAGTGAACTAGCAGAGGAGAGATCTCCAGTCTAGTAGCTAGAGTCCTGGAAAGTGTTCATGGATGTCCTTGAGTTATAAGATTCCAACTCTTCTTTGACTGTATTACCTATTATGGCCTTTTTCCCACTCTAGACTTCACTATTATGACACATCAGGGACTCAGACCAAATTCTTATGTAATTGATATGACACCATCCATTTGATAGTTTATAGTTCACAGAGCATATTTATAGTTTTTCTTACTGAATCCTAAGAGATTTTAAGTAAGACAGAAATCCAAAAGATTTTGAATTAGCTCATACCAGAGCCAGCTTTTGGATGCAGACCTCCCACTGATGAATGCCGTGCTCTCTCCCTTTCACACCACCAGGTGTTGCATCCTGGAGCCTAACTTCCACCCTGAGCTCCCAGAGGCGGGCTCCATCCCAGGGGGCCTCTAGCTCCAGATCTCTCATTGTCTTCACCAGCCTGACCTCGTGTAGACAACTGTCCCACATTTCCTCATATTCAAATATTTTAGAGAAACTACCAAAAACAGTAATGCGATTTCTTTTCAAAGCCTGGAAATGGTTTAAGAAATGGCACACCAACAAATGGTTGCCTAAACAATTATGCAAGGTTCTCAGTACAAAGTAAACAATATTTCTGTGCTCAAGTCAACTGTATTTGCAGAGATATTTGTAAGGATGACAGACCTTGCAGGAAACAGACCACGGATACTGTCTCTTTCAGAGCGATGTTCACCTAGGTCTCATTGTTCTTCTGACGTCTTCTCCATTTTTCTATTTCAAAATGGTGAGAATTA